AGAGAGAGAGAGAGAGAGCTATTCGAGAAATTCAGACTGGTCGATCAGCTTCTTGCATTTTTCGCCGCGAAATCATCAAGCGATGGCTACCGACGGACATACATCTTTTAATTATACAATTTTAATTAAATGCGACGCGAGATACTTGCGAATTAATTACGAATCTCGCGATTTCGCCTTGCAACAATTTCGTATCGATTGCGAAGCGCATTTGTTTCGATTTGAAAATTCTCCGATTTCACGTATCGTGTAATGGGAGAATTTTAATCTGCGAGGACAGGAAATCCCCTCGAAAATCGGAAATGCGAATTGTGCGCATTGTGTCGTTTCAAAATTAAAAACGAAGAAAACGAAGCGATTCGCTTTCGTTATCTGTCTCAAGGCTCATTCCTGATCGAATGTCGGAATATTCGCTTCCGGAATGTCGAGTAAACGAAGTGACTCGGAAAAGCGCTTCGTTTCTTCGATAAAACGCACTCGCCATGCACTCGCCTCTCTCGCCGTCGAGAACGACGACGGTCGGCCGTTTAAATAAATGATCGTCCATCGCGGTACGCGACGTTGCGATATCGCTTTACGGGGCCGCTCGCATGCTCGTGAAGACGCGTGATCGCAATCGTTCGCACGCACGCACATACGCACGTATGTACGCACGCACGCTCGCATGTTTTCGCGCGTGACGAGCAACGACAGGAAGAGAGAAAGAGAAAAATGGAGGATGGAAGGGGGTGGTGAGAACTAGCGCGAGTGGTACGCGCGAGCGAGAAACGAAAACAAAAAGAAACTCCGGTGTCTCGATGTGACTCACCAGATGCGTAGGCAGTGACGTGAAAACAGCTGAGGTCCTACGGCCATACTGGCTCTGGCTTCTGGCTCCGCCGACACGTTCCACGGAAACGACGGGCGCGAGAGCGTGTGCACGCCGTGCGTCGCGACGCCCGACTTCCCCGACGCGGCGGTCCGACGATCGATCGTCGTGATCTTTCTCTCTCGCGCGCACGGAGTGAGCGAGCGAGCGAGCGAGCGAGCGAGCGAGCGAACGAACGAACAGGCGAACGGCAAACTTCGGGGACCCTGGCCTTCTCTCGCCTCGACACGTCGCGCGGCGAACGTTGCTGCGAAACGGGCCCCCGTCGACGACGTTGTTCGTGCGCCCACCTTCAACTCGAGGCGCAGGGACCTGCGCGCTCCTCGCTCGCTCTTTGTGGCGAGAGAATAAAGATCACGATCGTGGTCGGACTCCCGCGCACACGCAGACAGACGCTGCTACGCTTTCTGGAAACCCGGATGAATCATACCTGGCGAACTCTCGAACATAACCTTGTTTTCCCTCCTCGTGATTGAGGTAATCCGCTGGAAGCGATATCCAGACGATGTGTCTCCGCCTTATCTCTTGCGTATTATCTTTGTCTTTCATGCGCGTTGTCGTCTACTTAATCAATCAATATATAGATACGGTAATTTAATTACACATGAACATTTTTTTGTAATTCTGTATAATAGAAAAAAAAATTGAACACTTTCTGTTTACTCTGATATATGTTTTCGTCGTTTTCTGTTGAATAAGTAAATTCCTCGCGATTTTTGAATACTTTAAATTTTCTTATCGACAGATTTTGAATATAGATCGAATACAGAGAAAATTAAGTTGATAATTCTATTTTAAATGTATATTTTGAACACACACACACACACACACACACACACACACACACACACACACAAGAAAAAAGATGTTATTGCTATAAAATCTAAATTTTTACTCTTAGGGATAAGAGAAAATATCTCTAATTGTCTTGTGTATTTTTTTTTATACTTGTTTTATTCACACGGTTATATTCGCATTCATTTTCAGATACAATGTAGAAAAGAAAAGCATACATAATTACAGACAAATTATTAAAAGCTCTTCGTATCTTTTAATCCTAATAAAAGCGTCATTCTAAAACGTCATTCTAAAAAACAACGTTCTTGATCTTTGTAAAACAAACTTAAGCTAGACAACTCTGTTAACTCTTAATATTTAAGTCTTAGTTCATTCAGCGTTTTTGAAACGCGTGTTTACATCCTTCCAGTTAATGATATCGAAGATCGCTTCCACGTAGACAGGTCGTACATTTTTGTACTGTAAGTAATAGGCATGTTCCCAAACGTCGATACCGAAAAGTGGAATGAGACCGGTTGTGGCTTGTAGCGGATCTTGATTCGCACAGGTCGCTATTTTGAGTGCTTTGTCTCTCTGATCGTACCCGAGCCAACCCCAACCGGAACCCTGAATTGCCACGGTCATCTCGGACAAGCGTTTCTTCATTGTGTTTAGACTGCCAAAGTCTTTGTCAATTTGTTTCAGGAGAGGGACTAAAAGAAAAGATAAAGATAGATGAAAAAATATATCATTTATGTTTGTGCAGATTTACAATATATTTTATATTGCGATTAATAATTAAGCAAGGCCGAAATGTGTTTAAACACAGAAATGATAATATAAACATTTGTTGATCAAGGCAAAATCTTCAACAATACAATACAACGTTTTTGAATCTATATCATTAAACTAATTATTGGTTTACTAAAGGGAAATAAATAGTTCTAACTTTGAGCTGCTATATTTCAAGCTATTAAAAAATAATGGCACATGGCTGATGATAAGAACGTTCTTGAATTTATATAAGCTATATTAATTTTATGATATCGATTAAATTTATGATTAATGTTACTAGTATTGAAAAATATTTTACGTCTTTCAAATATATTCTTTTTAAAGAATTATTAAACATTCAAATTTATTAATAAGCTATTTCTGTTCTCCTTTCCTATTTATATATTAAGTGAAAGAGAGAAATAATACCACTTGGATTGCCACCATCGGGTGAAAGATTACACCAGAAGATTGAATGATTAAGATGACCGCCACCGTTGAACTTCAGAGCTGAGCCCAAGGCGATCTGTGCGTTGACATCGCCTTTCGTGATCGCCTGCTGTAATTTTTCTTCGGTAGCGTTCAGATTGTTAACGTACGTTGCGTGATGTTTGGAATGATGAAGCTCCATGATCTCAGCAGATATGATGGGTTCCAGAGCCTTGTAGTCATACGGCAGATCAGGAAGCGTGTACTTTGATCTCGCGAACACATCCTTGCTGCATCAGCCAATAATACAACATTATATTATTGTATTATTATAAAATTAAAACTTTATAAAAAAAAAAATAAAACATTTGCGAATATCTAATTTGAAAATTGTTTTTTTTGTTTAAAATATGTGTATATTTTTTTACTAAATTCTAATTCTATATTTTTTAATAAATTTTCTACATCTTTATTTATAGATGTTAAAAATATAATCATGGATATTATCGTTATAAATTTCCATAAAATAATAATTTTCATTTTTAGATAATTGATATAATCCTATATCCCTATCAGTGAATAAGTTGATTTAATTCTATATCAACAAATATCTTTTCGCAATGTATCTCAGAGGAATTAAGTTATTATCGTTGATAAAAAAGTGGAATTTTATTAAATATATTTAAAAAAAAAAAAAAAAAACGTTTTGCCAATCATAAATATAAAAACAAGGAGTCAGTATAAAAGTAACTTATTTTTTTATACATATTCGTGCCGACCAATTGCGAACACATGTTTCGTCATCCCGTCAGCACGAAAAGTGCCGCGTACTAACACGGCTTGCATAAGTTAAATGTCGATTTATCGTTGAACAATTCAAATGAGAATTCAGCAGCGCGGTCCGCTTGTCGTAGATACATAGAAAACATTGCTGCGAAGATGTCGAGTAATTGCGTTTTTTTTTTTTTTTTCTAAGTTCTCTCCGGAAGAGTGCCAGATATATCTCTGACTATCTTCAACCCCCCAGGGTTATATGACACAGGTCCTCTCCCCTGCTTCTTGCTTTTTCCCCTCTTTTTTCCTTGCTTGTACCCTTTATAAATTTATCTATATTCTTCTATACTAGTTTAACTTTCTCTTTATCCTTAAAAAAATTGCATGACGCAACACAAAAGTTCATGTAGGGACAAAAGACGTCCTATCCACTCAACGATCAAACACCGACGAGTGACTGCGTGGTTAGAAATTAGGTTAGAAATTACATAATGCGAGAACAGCGGCGGATCCAGGAACAGTATCGTGACACTTACATCGCATTGGGGACCAGAACACGCCTTATTGCGAACATGATGAGGCGAAGAGCTATTGGAGTGAATTTCACGCACGTGAATTCTTCTCCGGAGGTTGATCCCGAACTTTCGAAGAGTTCTACTTGTGGTTCCGCACTCGATTCTACGCCACCGTCAACAACGATACATCAGCGCGGTAAAGTATAAAGCGTGAATTCGATCTATTTGCCTGCTACGATACCGATATCGAGAGAATGGAGATCGCGTCGATCGTTATCGATCGTTACTCCGACGAAACTGTCGTAAAATCTTTAATTTTTAAAATTAATCTTAGTTTCAATTTTTAGAATTAAAAGAAGATAAAAAATAAATAGTCGGGATTAATGTATCTCGAAAGCAATAGACGCGATTGCAATTGAAAAAAATTATTTAAAATCGCTTAAACACAAGATGTTTATTTTATTTATATATTTTTAAATTTGACACTGGAAATATTATCTGCCTTTTAATCTTTACAATTAGGTTGCTTCCAAAATTATTATTAAAATTTTTTCCATCTTTCTTCAGTGCATGTTTTTTTTTCTTCACTAGTAATATATAATTAAATGCTGAATATGGAATGGAAAAAAGAAATTAACATACTTCAGTCTGAATAAGGAATCCTTTAATGTCTCGCAAGATTCACAATTTATGTTAGCATATTTTTTAGTGATGAATGTAAACTAACACGTGGAAGTTCTACGTAACTTCTTATACACGTGTAAGCAAGGTGAAATGCAAGTTGTTTTTAATCATTCTTAATTATTTAAAGAAAAGAAGACACCATATTTTAATTGCAAAAAATGTGCATAAGAAAAAGCTTTATTTTACGCCGCTTGTAACTCAGGAAAATTATGAGTAAATATTTAGACAAGAATAATGGCACTATAGAGATAATTTAGGATAAGAATATCACGCGTTCTTTATATTTTTTAAAAATGCAAACTTATATTTTTTATATCTACTTCTGTCCAACATACACCGCAACTGAAAGCGTAAATTTTTGAGCCGATATGAAACAAATTTGCATGTATAGATAATATATATGATATGAAACGTTATATGTTTTTAGTTTTGTTTAGGAAAATTAAAAACATGAATTGAATTAAAAATGTATCAGTCTGTGAGATCAATCTATAATGCATCGCTAAAACTAATATTGTTTTATATTTTATCATCTGTTTTCAAGTTATTTAATAACAGAAAAGTAAAAACGCACGTTTTTTTATGCGTGGGCGATATATACCTCACGTTACATAGAAATACATATGTACATTGGAATTGTTGTTACGTATACAATTATACGAAAATCTCTCGGTGATGCGCCTTCATACGCCTGAAAGCATCAAGATTTATTTATTTACGCAACGTGGTTAGGCATTTTTGATTAATTCTTGACAATATTTTTTCGAAATTTTTTTTTTTACTCATTAACCAAGACTTGCTCGTTTTTACAGAGTTTTAATACAATAAATTTACAAAATATAAACGAAATTCGATTGTTCTGGCTTTTTCTTACAGCGCGCTTTTTCTTTCGACTGTATAAATTAATCTATTCAGATAGATTTTATCCAGTTAGCATCCTTGCAATGTAATACACAACTTCGTCTTATGCACTTGATGTAAACGCGAATCATGAACTTTATATCGATCTAATGGTATAAGAGTATATACAGGCTCGTCACTTTAGAGACCAATGAATATTTATTCTTTGAAGTTATCACGAATACAGGTACTGAAATTACGTTCTTTTATGGCTAATTATTTATTTATTCGAACAATGTCTTGTAAATAGCTGGCGTTGCTCCAGATGAAAAATTTTATACACAATAACGAGAGGATATTCAATATATCGCGAATTTTTTTCAAATCACGTGTGATTAATGTCATCCAAAATCATCCAAAATGAACGTAAAACAACGTTCATTCCGGATCACTCTGTAAAGTCTCGCCATTAGTTAAAACTAACGCATCATCATCGGCTTCATTGTAATCGAGAGAAAGGATACTTTCCCTTCGTTTCTTCTTGTGCGTCCTTTCATCATCACTACTGGCTGCACTTTTTTCCCTCTTTATCCTGTCCCTACTCCGCGTTGTTCGCGTCATCACCTCCTCCCCGTTCGATTTACCACTATTCCTATTGTGATTTTTACTCCTTAATATTCGTTTGTTCCGATTCTCCTCCTGTTCTTCCTCCCTATCACTAAGTTCCTCGTTCTCAACCTTAATAATTAACGCCGCGGAGTCGCTAGAACTCTCGTCATTATGATCGGCTTGATTAAGTTTTCTCTCTGCACGTTCTGTTCTATCGACACTAGTAAGCTCACTCTGGGGCGACGTTAACGGTGGAGTCCTTACACCTTTGCACATATCACTGTCCTCCAGCTTCGGAGGTTTCGTATCTGGTATAGCAGTTTCTTCCGGTTCCTCTTTCTTAATCGGTGGCGTATGAGGTGACAAACCATTTGATAAATTATTCTCATTTGTATTTGCTTTTAACGTTGCGTTCTCTTGTTGCAATAGCGTGACTGATTCTCTCGCCTTGCGTAGTTCTTGTTGCAAGAAATAAATAGTACTCTGCATACCTTCTACATCTTCGTCTAAATCTTGCAGAAATTCGTCTAATTCTGTCAAAGATAAATTAAGAAAAAATTTAATTTGAATTACATCCGAAATGTTTCATAAAATCTAATGAATTGAATTGTAATAACTGTAACAATTAGTAAAAATTAATAACAATTGTAATCAATATTTAACACGATACCTGACTGTGACTTTTTCACTTCTTCACTAAAACTCTTTTGCAGAGCGAGTTCGCCTTCCAATTTAGCAATACGTCCGCTGGCAATCATACGACCAAGCTCCTCATTTTCCTGATATAACAATCTACATTTTGCCATTAATCTTTTCCCCGTATTACTGTAAATAAAATATTTAATTTGTAAAAACATTTATGTTACATATTGCTTTTTATTCAGCATATAAATTATAACACAATTTTATTCAACATATAAATTAGTTTTCCTGACCTATCCGGAGTGAACTTCCATGCGCTTAATTCATTCTGCGTATCTTCCAATTTACTTTTGGTCGTTATTAGCTCTTGTCTTAATTTCTGTATCAATATATTAACAGCCGGATCTAATAAAGTAGACCTTAATGCAGCTGCGGACGGAGCTTGGGTGGTTTTCATTTCAGTTATTTGATTCTAATAACAAAAAATTAATGTTTTTTATAGTTATATAAAAATTAATTTTTTAAAATAAATTTTTGTATTAGAATTTTTGATATATCTAAGAACAATTACATACAATATATTCTTGCAATTCCTGTTCTTTAGAAGCAAGTCTTCTTACTAAGATCTTCTCCCTGTGAGACGCTTCTATATATTGTTGCCTGTATTTGTTTTCGGATTCTCTCAATGAAGCTAGTTCACCTATAAAGGAATAGTCTATAAATTTTTCTACTTTTAGATAATAACAATTAATGGTATCTATGTGTGTTTCTTAAAGTAGCAATATTTATATATATATATATATATATATATATATATATATATATATTGATGTATGTATATATATATTATTTTTACAAGAAATATAGTCCTTGTAAAATAATGATATTATTCGTTCATATTAAAATAATTAGCGAAGTAATGAAATACGTATATTTTATAGGAGATAATACATACACATACACACACACATATATTAATTCTTGAAATATTTTTAAGCCTGTAAGTTGATTTTGTTTTTTCAACATTTAGCCAGCAATTGTATTACATTCCTTTTCCAAAATGTTTTATGTAAATTTTTGGATATTTAAATGTGAAAAAAATGTATACATAAATGTTCAATATATAAAAAAATTGATATAAATAATATTCATACATATAAGGAATTCGAATTTTATAAAATAGAAATTAAAAAATTAGAAATAAATTCTACAATAATTTCTGTCATATTTTTATGCACATATTTTTTAATCAAATATATAAAAATTTGTTTTAGAACTTTTATAATTTTTTTAAAATAACTAATAATAAATATTTATTATTTTAAAGATATAATATAAGAATATGTTCTTTAATCTGTTCTAAAATTTTTATGATAATATATTCATAAATAACGAAAAAAAAATTTATTTTTTTTTATAATTAAAGATTGAAATAAATTGGTGATAAATCTTTCCTATCTTTTTTGGAACATTTATATAAATAATTAAAAATACAAATTTATAAAAGATATATGATTATATGGAAGATTTGAAATCTCAGATTGCAAATATAATTGTGTCATTGTATAGAATATGCTGTATAGTTTTTATTTAATGTGTTAATATAGAGTTTTTGATGGAATTAAGAATATACTAGTGAAAAATTGCTATTTATAATTTTAACCTAAGTGCGCATAAATAAACTATATATTTTTATAAGTATACGTGACTAATGACTGCCTGACAACTGACATTGTTAATTAGCGCATACTTTGATTTTTGGAGTTGTTGCGACGTGCCATTTCTGTGAGATTCTCTGTACTTCCACCATGACCAAGAGTGGACGTTACTTTTCTTCCGCAAGAATCAAGCGTACTTGTTGCAGGCACAGATGTTGTAACGAGACGTTGGTCGGGCTTAATTCACAGGTGTGTGTACACTTTTGAAATTCGTATCTGATACCAGGACATTATGGTGCAGGTATAAATGCATGCACAAGTTGCATTCATAGTGAGAATATGTAGGATTGGGTCTAGGAATACATTTAATTAAAAATTGCATTATCTCTAATTGGAAAAAAGAAGTTTAAGGATAAGAAAATATGTAAGGATACGTAAATTGCAGGGAAGGGAGACAGATGACGGGATCATGGATCGTGTAACGTTCTAGTTGGTAACGACGAATGTGTTGTTGCGTACTTCACCGAGATTCAAAATTTCACGCACCCCAGGTGCAGAATTTTGTAGGCCAATGGATGACGCGGATCCACTCTTATTATTCCTCTGAGCCATAAATTCAGCGCCATTGTATAAACGCTGCTTTTCTCATCCTCGTTAACTAGAAACTCGGTATTTTGAGTATCACACACACGGCACACACTCTTCTATGTTTGATGGTATAATTATTAACACTGCAGAGGTATACGCGTGACGCACTGCACAGGGCACTTATAAAATATTTTTTTCTTTTTGCCAAAGTTGTGCCTTCCACAACATCAATGGCAGACACGGGTTTTCTTTTTTGTTAAAGAAAAACCTCATTGATGCTTTTTGATACACATGAACACTTGTTATTTCAGCCATTTCCACTTTATTTGCTAATTATGCCTTTTAAGGCTGATCATATAATTGCTCACAAAAAAATTTAGTAGACTAAATTTGTTTTTTTCTATACGTTATGTATATGTGGCTGTCACTCCACCCATGCTCACAAATACTTTAAATCGCCTTATATCACAATACATATGAATTTTTAATTTTAAATACCCGCACTGTACACATCACAAATTTAATTATGAGAATTAGTATATTAATATAATCACTATATATAAGCGCAACATTATCTTTTTCCATATCTAATCTTTCTAGTACTTTCGTGCGGATACAATAAAACCTGATCGCACGCGTACCAAAGTTCCTCATAGAACGATAAAAATCGTCTGCTACATTTATACCTGGAGTAATTTCTTATTTAACTAAAGCTTCCTTTTGTTACCTTAAACCTAACAGACAACTTAATGATAATATCCTAAACACTGATCTAACAAACCCTAAGCTTAGCGTCTCTACGAGAGTTCTGTCTCTTATAAAGGACCGTTGTGTTCTGGCATTCGTTAATTCGCTTAAGATATGTGGTGAGTGAGGTGGTCTCACTCGTGTGATCTCAGTACCTTCCTGAGCTGCCGCCTGGGCTTCTAGACACTCCACATACAAGTCCTGTTCATGCCATTTGGCTGCTAGCTCGTCCTTAGTCAAGCTGTCCAATTGTTGCTGAGTTAGCTTTACACGTCTTGGTTGCCTAGGCGAATGTGGACTACTTGGCTTCCCGCCGTTGTTACTGCTCTGAGGACTTCTGGGCGAGGACGGTCCTGCCGACTTGACCTCGCTGCATTCATCTGCCATTTCACTACTATTGCGCAGTTGGATGTTATATTGTAGAAGAAGTCTTTATGCGAAATCTTGCATTCATTAATGTCACGATGCCAATGAATTGCGCCAGTAACTAAATGCTACGATGCAACCAATGCTATTAGAAGATAATCATCTGAAATGGAAAAATACAGTATGATTAATATCAAATTTATATAAATCATGAAATTTTGTAAAATTTCATCAAAATCTAATAATTGCAATTCAACATCGATAACTTCCATTAAGAGAATTTATTTATTTTGTTCTACATTTCGCTATTGACGCGATTGATATTAAAAAAATAATTTTGTGAAGCAGTTGCATAAAGTGCTCTTTTAAACTGAACTTGCACAATTCATCTTTTTTCTTTTTCTTTCCAACGTGGAAGTTCAGTTAAAAAGAACAGGCCTATTATAAGGTCACCGGTTACAAAATTTGATTCTACTTCGATTTTATTTAATTGTAACCTATAGATTATCCATCCGCTGCGAGATGGAAATTAATTGCTTATTCGTGCGGTGTTAAATGAATCTTTAGGAAATCTACGACAGGAATGCAATATGCGAAGTGTATCGAACCTAATTGGAAAATGTACGCGCGTGTCTATTGAACGTATCGGGAATGGCAGTCTCGAAGGGAACGAAAGCAGGTGAAATTCTGGCACTAAAGGCGTCATCGGAATTCGCCGTTGTAGTGATCAGAAAGACGGATTGTATTTATCTCCGGTATTCTCGAAAGACAGTCGTGACGCCATTATGTCGACATGTCCGCCACGAAGGAGCAGCCTGCGTTACGTTTAAGCATTCGGTTCTTTATTTTTTTTTTTCTTTTCGCTCCTACCATCTTCCCCTCTTTATCTCCTTTTTTTCATCTTCCAGGATTAACGAACGTGATCCTGAATTGGGCTCGCGAGAGCAACTGAGGCAACAACACGGAGCCAAATTCGCGGCGATCGATTGTCACGCGGTTTCGGTGATGGCACCGCGCGCGCGAAAGTTTTTTCTTTTTTTCCTCTTCCTCTCCCTCTGTCTCTCATGTCGTCAAAATCTACGGTGTCCGGCCACCTACCTCGCCCGTTAGAACGGCGGACATCTCATTGTTGGACACGGCTGTGTCGGATATCAGGGGAGGGACGGGACGGGTGACATCGCGCGTCCGTGGAAAAAGCGCCAAATGGGTCCCCGCGCGCGATGAACTTCACTCCGCGATCGATCAATCCGAACGTAGTCGACTGTTACGAGTGGCTGATAGTAAACGCGCGCGACTTCACGGCTAAGCGTCGAGTCGTTTCGAACGTGATACACCCGTAATACGCGACACCATACGCGAAAACTCGGGAACGCGATGAACCTCGCCGCAATCAAGTACGGTACGACTAATCATGAATGACAATCACCCCCGCAGACCGAAGAGAAGGGAGGCAGAATGGCTGAACGGGAGTGCGCCAGCGCATGCTCCAATCACAATCGACCTATGGCGAAATGCTTTGAACCAGTGTTGCCAGATCGATTTGAAAATTTTTTCCTAACACACGTCTTAAAATCCCTAGACAATTACAGATAAAATTGATTCAATCAATGTACAATTGATATTATTTCATTTTTAATTGAATTAGAAGATTATAATGTCAAAATTAAATTTCCTTTACTTTGTCAATAATTAGCGTTTTAATAAAAAAATCTTTTAATTTGTTAACTTTTAATTTTTAAAAGAATTTTTGTAAGAATGGAAATTTTCCATTGCAACGCACGACATCCAATAAAAAAAAAATTTGTTTTCTAGGGATTTTAATGTAAATCTTTTTCAAACTAATTAGTCTAATTTTTATGAAATAACCAAAGTTTTTTTAAAGTTCTGAAAATCTTTTTTCAAAATTATTAATTAACATTAAATGAAAAAACTGATATAATATTGACATTATACAATATTCTAATTTATATAAAAGAATTGCAATGTAAATTCTCTATAAGGAACTTATACTAACGCCCTCGTGACAAATATTGTTCGACTTCATTCAGTGGTCGTAAACGTTTGTAATATATATCATTGATGAAATAAATTTAATATAAAAATTACAATGAAACGATCAGGTATGAGCGCTAAAATCACTTTTATTGTTTAATTTTTTAATTCTTTATTTTTCTTTTTCACTGACGATATTAATGTTAAATTAAGGTTAGATCAGAACACGTGCAGGAAAAGATAAATAAATTTTTAAGGAATTATTTATATAACTTATATAACTTAGAATATTTAATATATTGGGAAAAAAACATTTCTGTTTTTAGTAATGTTAAGATTATGAAATGTAATTTAAAATCATGCAACAGAATGTTTAGATACATATAAATTGTTAATTTTAATTGTTTTATATTATTTTTGAAGATAAAAAGGATCGTAAAAAGATACCAGTTGATAAGAGACGAGTTGGTTCTAAAAGAATGCCAATTCGTAAGAAACATGCTAAGGTGCCAATTGATAAAAAAGTATTAGCAAAATATTCACAAGGTCCTGGAGTTGAATTAAAACGAAAGACAAGTGCAATAAAGAATAAAGTACTGAGAAAAAAACTACAGCAGAAAGAGCAAGCTATAGAGGAGCAAGTAAAGGCTTCTGCTCGGACAGAATTATTATTGACTGAAGAACATGGTTATATGGAAGCAGAATCTGGAGAAGTTACAACTGACTATCGGCAAAAGCAGATAGTAGACAATGTAGATATAACGAGCGCAGCTAAACGTTTCAAATTAGATTTGCAACATGGCCCATACTGCTTTAGGTATACTAGAAATGGTAGACACTTGCTCTTGGGTGGCAAGCAAGGTCATGTGGCAACCTTTGACTGGGTGACAAAAAAGTTGGCTTGTGAAATAAACGTGATGGAATCTGTCCATGATGTTACTTTCCTACATCTCGAGACTATGTTTGCAGTGGCACAGAAGGATTGGGTCTATGTATACGATAATCAAGGAATAGAATTACATTGTTTAAAGAGAATGAATGGCGTGACACGATTGGAATTTCTGCCATATCATTTTTTACTTGCCAGTGGATCGAAGGATGGTCATATGGCTTGGTTGGATGTATCCATAGGCAAACTTGTCGCCCGTTATAATTCCTATTTAGGCAGAATATCTGTGAGTTTTGCAAAAGATTATGTTTATTTTTAGCTGTTTGTATTATATTTCAGATAATAACAATTATTAATTTTTGGTAGGTAATGACGCAGAATCCAAGTAATGCAGTACTATGCGTTGGTAACTCAAAAGGAGTAATATCTATGTGGTCTCCAAATTCTCATAAACCATTAGCGAAGATGTTGTGTCATCATCAGTCAATTATGACATGCACCATTCATCCACATGGCACTTATATGGCAACTAGTTCTTTAGATAATTATGTAAAAATATGGGATATTAGACAGTTAGCAGGACCGGTGAATCATGTTCGCATTCGTTCTCCTGCTTATCGTATGTCTTATAGTCAACGTGGTTTGCTCGCGCTGGGAATGGGCAATGTAGTCGAAGTTTATAAGTAAGTTGTTGATAGAAGTGTAAAATATGATACAATGAGGAGTTTTTCACGTCTATCCGTCTTTATCAGGGAAACTTCTGGCGATTTCAAGCCATATTTACGACACAAAACTGCTCGTAATGTGAATTGCGTGAGATTCTGCCCATATGAAGATGTTTTGGGAATTTCTACGGCAAATGAATTTTCATCACTCTTGGTGCCAGGAAGTGCGGAAGCGAACTACGACGCTTACGAGATTAATCCATTCCAAACTAAGAGTCAAAGACGAGAGACAGAGGTGAAAGCACTTCTGGAGAAAATACAACCAGAATTAATTACTCTCGATTCAACTGAGATACTTGAAGTTGATGTACCTACATACAAAGAGAAAGTGGAAGCGAAGAAAAAGCTTTTGGTAAGTAAGGAATGAAAATAATTTTCAATTTAAGTAATTTTGTAATCATATAACCTATATATAGTACTCTGACAATCAATATTTTTTTAGTATATTAAGCCAAAACCGATAAACTTTGAACCTCGACGAACGAAAAGTAAAGGAAAGGGTGGTACTGCGAAAATAATAAAAACTAAAAAGATATTAAAAGATCTAAATCGCCGAGTAAGTATTTTGCATTTATTATATCATATTGTTTTAAATTAGTTTATTTTTTATCTTTATATATGTAACGTAAAATGATATAAAATTATTGTTACTTTTAGGAAATGATTGAAACGCTTCGTGAAGCAGAAAAGGAAACACCAAAAAAGACTGAGAATCAGGATAAAGATTATGGTGTATTAAATAGATTTCTTAACAAAAAATAAATACTATGTGATAGGATTTATAAATATAGGATTTGTATGAATATGTGTATGAAATTGTATATATATATATATATAATATTTTTAATATTTTTAATAAAAAATTATAAGAATTAACAATCTCTTTCAAGATTATTCTCGAAATAAAATCTGATGTTACATCCGTTTTGGAATTTATTAAAAATAATTACATACAGACAAAAACATAAATTTTGTTATATGTTATATAAATATTTTATTTAAGAAGATTAATATTAACGATGCTAAATTAATTTTTCAGCACTAATTTATCATTTGCAACGTATATAATACATTTTTTTGTTAGAAATTCATTTTTATTTTCTCACGCAATTTCATCGATAATTAAAATTGATATTTATGTGATTATATGATTATATTTATGTGATAAGATATGTACACATTTACAAAAATGATTGTATACATAAATATGTCATGATAAATCCGAGAATGACATTCGATTGTTGGATACTACCTGCATTAATATATTGATCGACCCATGATTTGTACGTATATACTCTGGTATATACATCTGGAATACCTTTGCCACATGGAACACCATAGGATACAAGACCAACTAGTTTATTGTCGAAAACGAGCGGACCACCGGAATCACCCTATTGAGATAATTTATTAAATATATGTTCGCCAAAATTTGTTATACTTACTATAGATTTTCTAGATATTAATGATTTTTCCATAACAGTTATATAAATAACTAATATGCAATTGCTTAAAATAATTATATAATAGATATTAAATTATCTAAATGAAACTTCAATCTTTATTCTTGATATCACAGAGACAAAATGACGGATATAATCTTTCTTTGAAATTAACTTTTTTATGATATTTGTAACGGGATAAATTATAGGATAAATGTATATTTATTTTACGATTATACTTACATTGCACATTCCTTTACCCCAACCTTGATAAGCACATAATTGTCCATCAGTAATACTTCCAAAATAAGTTCTGCATTGTCTTTGGGGAACTTTCATCACTACAATATGTTGTAAGCGATTTGGAATCGGGCCTTTATTCTAAACAAAAAGATATTTTAATATCTGATGTCTTGAAATAAGAATGAAAGAAATCTTGAAAACTCCCACAAAACTTTGGAATGATAATTATTAATTATTTTTACTTATATAAATTAATTTTAAATAAGAGATGTACTTACCCAGAGTCTTCCCCATCCAGAGGCTACAAGAAGAGTATTATCAAGATTATGGTTGTAATTTATTAATTCTATTGGCTGTATGGTACTAGAAAAGGTGATGTATTTTCTTGTATGTAACAAAGCAATATCGTTAACGTGCAATGTTTTATTATATTTATGATGTTTCATAAACCAGCTTGCTGCATATATAGCACCAGGACGATCAAGAGAATTGCTTCCAACGCCGATGAGAATATCTTTATAACCGTTGTGTTCGTCGAAACTAACAATCAAAAAATTATCATACAACGTGTATTTAATTTATAGATTAAATCAAAGAAATTATATAAAAATCACATATCTCTATTAGATATTAAAGAAATTATTACATGCCTTTTCAAATCTGTTGTTTTATAATTTTGTTGCACTAAATTTATGTTAAAAATCATATATAATGGTAGCTTTCTCTTCTCATACTTATCAAATTGCAAAATACATAAAATGCAATAATTATTTGAACAAAAACATTGGAGTTTTTAAACTGGAAGAAAAAAGAGGATCTACACTTACTTATCAAAACAATGTGCAGCGGTAAGAATAAAATCCTTGCTAACGATAGCTCCACCACAAAAATGAGTTCCGGTACTTATGCGCTTCAATGATACCTGATAAGGATATAAACCTTCCGGGGCTTCGGTACCACCGATGATTTGTGGATCCGGCAAACCTATCGATTAACAAACTTGTTTATTTCCTACGTAATATACTACTTAAAGTAATTCAAAATGACTATATCATAAATTTTATTTTTATAATGAAATAGAGATTTCGTTGTAAAATAAAATAATCAAATGAATCACAAGTGTATATGCTTAATAAAATCTAGAAATTTATGCTGACATTGCTATATTCTTTTTAAAATATATGGCGAGTGTTAATAGATTACACTATGTTGTTTTTAAAATATATAATAAATATTAAATTTGTTAAATAATTATTATAATATTTTTATAAAATTGAGATAAACGATTTGATCATAAAACTCATTCCAATGACATCGAAGATGCCATTGCGTAACATATAATCAAAAGTAATATTATTGTAATATATGCTCGAATTATTCGTAACTCGATAAAATTGGTTACAAAATCATTCATTATTATTCTTCATTAAGAACATTTTTTAGATATACATATATGTATATACATGTATATACATGTATATACATATATGTATATACTTACCATAGGTGCTGCGATATATTAAACATGCTATTATGAAACCGATATTGAAAACATAATGAAAGACACTGTGAAATGTAACGCGTTATCTGCGATTTATATAAGTATGCATCGTTCAACAAAATTATCAATTCGCAAAATACGATATCGTTTTTATTCCTCCCGTAGATAATAGAACGGAAGAGAGAGAAAGATGTATATGTGTATCTCTCTATATATATATTCGCAGTACATATTGAAGAGGATAATATTTTTTATGTGACTCTCTTGAATCATTATTTATTTTATGATTATAGTTTTTTAGGAATAGTAAATAATTACTTTAAATTATAATTATATATATATATATATATATATATATATATATATATATATATATATAG